TCCCTCTGGCCTTCGCAGGAGTGCTTGGGAGCTTGCTTTTCGGAGCTGCCCTCCTGACCTTTCCATGGGCTCACCTGTTTCTGTGCGATTCTATTTTGGGAACGGTCCTTATAGCATGTCATTCTCCTGCTTAGAGCCTTTTGGTTGCTCCCCGTTGGGCTGGCGAGAGCCAGCCTGGCCGTCGGTCGCCGGGACCCCAGGCCTTCTGTCCGTGATTTCCCCTTGCAGCCCCTGGTGACCGCGCCGAGAAGCCCCGGGCCCACTTCGCAGCGCCGCCGACGTCCTTTCTTCTCTGCTCCTCCAAGTCCTGTCACTTCCTGCCCAGCATCGTTAGGACACGGTGTGGACAGTTGGGGCGCTGATAAACTCGGACCACCCTTGGGGTGAGAGAACACACACACTTCTTCCGTGTAAAGTCATGTGTTCGCCCAGAGGTCTATGAAAATACCTATAATAGCAATTTGAGTTTGCAGAGTCATTTCCAGAATACAATTCAATCTTAACTTTCCTGGATGTAAATTTTTACATGTCTTTCTGATTCACTCTTTTTCCTTTTTTTAACCTTTAAAGACTGAAGATAGGTTTTACAGAGCAGCTCTGGCCAGCCGGGGCTGGGCTGACAATCAGGTTCTTGTCATTTAAAGCGAAGAAGTACAAAAGCTCAGTGTTTGGCAAAGCGTAGTATATTTGTTCCTGGAGTTATGCAAGGCTATTTAACATGGTGTGCAAACTTCAAAGCATTTACATAATGGTGATGTATTTATTTCACTGTGTACTGGGGAAAAAAGTCCCTCCTATCAAATCCTTACTTGAATGGATATCATTTGTGGTGGGAATTGCTAGGTGTTCCTTCAGATCCATCCTGCCATCTTTTGTGCCCAGCCAAACCACATTTCCCAGCCTTCCTTGCAGTTGGATTAGCCACGGGGAAAGTGCTCTCCAGTGGAATGTGAGTGGGAGTGAGGAGTATGAGATCCAGGCCTGGCCCAAAGCCCCACGCCCCGTGTTCGCTGCCCCACAAACCCCCACTGCAGCTGGCTGGAACCAACACCCACAATGACATTCAAAACCATGAGATACAGATGGCAGAGCCACCATGTGTGGGTTGGGGGTCAGCACCTCTGGCCCGTGTGCCCAGTCCAGCCCAGCACCTATTATTAAAACGAAGTTCCCTTGAAACACAGGCATACTCATCTCCCTGGGCGTGGTCTCGTTCGCTGCTGCTGCGCAGCGCAGGTGCATCATTGCCGCAGAGACCCTGCGGCCCCTAGAGCCCGAAGTATTTACTGGCTGGCTCTCTCCAGAAAACATGGCTGACCTCCCGGCAGATCCCTGAGGGACCATACAGCAGAACAGCACCCCAGTTCTTCCGATAAGCAAGAAAGAAACCATTGAAAGTTTGGGGCTCTCACTACCATAGTTCACCCTCATTTCCCAATCCGTGCTCACTCAGCAGGAGCTGAAGTAGGAGGCCCCACGTGATTGCCCAACAGAGATGCCTGCGTGACAGCTGTCTGTGCCATCTTGGATGGCCTTTGGACACCCATGGCAGGTGCAGCTGACTGGTCGCCAGGCCCCAGACCCTGGCCAGGGTGTCCCACACATGCTCTGTTTCCGTACGTCCCAGGACCGAGTGACCCGCGGCTTCACTGTCTCTTCACAACCCAGCTTCGAGGGCCTTGAGGTCTGTGAACGGGACTGACACCCGGGGGCCTGAGGGTCAGAGGGGAAGCGCTCTCCGAAGCTCAGCAAAGCGCGTCGGCTGTGGTGAGGACGACCCTCGGTCAAGCCGGTGCCGGGTCGCCAGGCTGGTGGCGGTGACGGTGGACTAGGCAGCCCTGCCCTCGCGGTACTGCCCACCCACAGTCTGCGTTCCCCGCTCAGTAACTCATTTTTGGGTGTGCACTTTTGTGAATCAGTTCCAGGTGACAGCACTTACAGTTCCATCTCCGCTCTTTATTTTTTACCATCGTCTTCAGTTTTAGAAACGCAAGGACACGTGTGTCCTGCTCACCTTTACTCATGGGGAGTTACATAGGTCTTCCACGTATGGAAGTGAAAAAAATTTTCTTTTCCAGTGAGTGTGCTTAAAGTACAAAGGGTCTGCCCATTTAGGGAAAACTGCTGATAATAGTGCAGATGGTATGCTGAGCTGAAATGGCTAAAAAAAAATAAAAAATAGGGGATGTTAGTGAGGGTGTGACCGAGGTTCCGGAAGCGCTGCCTGCGTTCCAGGCTGCGTGGGGAAACGTCCTTGGCCTCCGACTCGCGGAGTGTCGGTCCAGGGTGGACAGCCGCCCTCTGCCCTGCCCCTTCCCCACTCCCTTTCTGGAAGGGAGCCCCCCGTGTCGTCCGGTGGGCTTCCCAGCCTCTGGTCTCCCAGTGCCGCATTCCCCACCGGGAAGTGGATGCCGGTTGTCGCCATGAGGAATGGGCAAAGCCCAGGGGAGGGCGCAGGAGTACGGGGTCTCCCGCTTGCCCGGCACTTGCTCCAGTGTGTGCTGTCCCTGCATCTGCTGAGTAAATCAATGGGGATGGCGAGGTGCTGAGGGGGCTCATTTGGGACCTCCAAGGCTGTCTTCTCTCCTAAGACCTGCCCAGCCACTTAGGAGCAAAGGCCAGGTCTGAGGGTTTTCCTCTCCAGATCACCTGTTTCCACGCGGGGACCTTAGAAAAGTCCCCAGGGGAAAAGCCGTATTTCCAACCAGGAGCCACGGGAACAGGAAGCTCTGTATCACTTACAGCTAACGTGACGCAGGGGGATCACCCACATAAGCAGAGCTGAGGTCCGGCTTCAGGCTGGGTGTGCTCCAGTTCCACCCATCGCTTCTATAGAGTCTTTGTGGGCAGGAAGGGGCTTCCCTGCGGCGGTCAGACAACCAGCAGCGAGGTCTAGGAACAGTTGCCTCCTTTGTGACATGGACTGGTGCCCCAAGCAGGCATGACTGCACAGTGAGACCGGAGGGGTAATGCATCCTCACGTTCCACGTTTTGCTGAGACAGCACCCTGCGTTCTCCCTGAGCTAACAGCCAGGTCTGTGTTCCCAGGCTGCAAAGGCCAGTGTGTGTCTGTATGCGACACAAACAGCCTCTTTGCTTAGAAGACAACCCGGACTGCCCCACGTGGACAGAGATTCGGGCGCCTTGGATCGGCGTGCTCCTTATAATCTCTGTGTTTTCCTAGGTGAGAGGGAGGAACCCCAGCCCAGGTCAGTCTCTATGGAAGCAGTCACCCCTGGGGACTGCCTCTAATGCTGTCAGAAAGCCACGCCCCGCCCCCAACAGGGACGCTAAGGGACTTGTCCTAAATTCCCCAATTGAGCAGCTATGGGGCTGGGAGTTGCTCAGAAAGTTTTTGGGCTTTTCCTGAGGACCTCAGACCCAAGCTTCCCCTTGTCCACAGGCTGGTGTCTGCCTTGGGAAGCTCAAGGCAGCTAAGGTTGAAGTCCCCCAGGGAGGAGCCCTTAAGTAACCAGTTGTTTGACATCCTGTAATCGGAGAGCTGTGTCCCAGCCTGGTGGGTGAGATAGGCAGCTCAGTGGGCGTGGCCTAGAGGCCCCAAAGAGTTCAGTTTGGAAAAGGAGGTTGCTTTTGATTAGGCAGGGGCAGGCGGAGGAGTGGCTAACGTTGGGGCTGTGGAGAGCTGAGGTCACAGTCCCTTGGAGTCACATGAAGACCTGCAGGCCTGGGAGCTGCTGTCCTTCCATGATGTGGTTTTTCGCCCTGGTCTTGGGCTCCCTCGCCCCTTCCACAGCTTGGGGTGAGTCCTCCCAAAACACAAATGGAGGGGAGCACGTCCACCACGTCCGGTGTGCCCCACTTCCGGTGGTGAGGGGAGACGCATACAGGGCAGAGGTGTGACAGCTGCAGTGCCAGCCCAGCCGCCCCGAGTCCAGGGGAGACCCAGGGGTGGTGAGCCCTGGAGGCCACAGCTACGCGTGCTGCGCGCACAGGGACCCCCCGCGCTCCGCACGTCTCTCCCACCAAGCCTCGAGGGAGCTCCGTTGATCTCCCCCTTGATGCTTAGCCCAGACGTGGCCAAAGCCCGGAGAGCGACTCAGCAGAATATTACTGTGGACTCGGAGGGCATGGGTTCCAACCCCAGCTCAGCACTCACTAGCTCAGTGCGTCCTCGGGCGAGGTGCTTCACCCTCTGAGCCTGGTGTCCCCCTCTCCCAAGTGGGCCGCAACGGGGTGCCTCCCTCGTGGACCCGCGGCAAGGACAGAACTGGCTGGGTTTATCTAAAGAGCATAGTGCCTGGGCTGGGGGAAGGGCGACAGAAGAGCCCATCAATCAAGGGGGTGATTTAAAGACGAGGGTATTAATAGAAAATGCGGGGAAGGCCAGCAGATCGGGACATCCTGTAAACTGAAGAAACTGTTACTGCCAGTTCCCAACAGGAGGGCGGGGGGCCACACGAAGAAGCCGAGGAAGGGGGGAGGCTCGGCGGGCCAGAATCTGTTTGTGTTGCCGCCCTTCAAGGCCTGGCAAGCCCACGGTCTTTGGGGAAAATATCCACGGAGACGGTGGGATGTCTGGCACGCCTTTGTTCACGGGTGGGTGAGCCACGCAGGCTGCCAGCTGCATGTCTGTCTGCGGGTGTCACGTCAGGGCCCCTGCTCCCCCACGTGGCGCCCATCCCGGCACCTGTCCCCTTGTGTGTCTCTCATCATCATTGCCCCCCCAGCAGGGAGTCCCTACCTGTTTGAGCACTAGATGGGGACAAAGCCAGCAAGAAGCCAGAAACTGAATAACATAGCATGGTTCTGTGCCTGCCAGCTCACTTCATGTTACGGGAACAGTTTATCGGACCCGGTCTCAAGGCTGTGAGAGCACTACTTATCCTGCATCTGCAAGGCTGTGGGAATGCTGCTCCTCTTAGTCACCCGGACACTTGGGTGAGGAACTAACTGCCTTCACTTGCCCTGCACTGTGGTGATGGGACAGAAGGCGTCTGCTGCATGTGCCCATCAAAGCCCAGTAAGGCACGAGTCTGCAGCCGAGGAGGTCAGGGTTTATGGCCGAGATGGTGCCATGCGCAGAGGGACAGGTAGCTCAGGCTCAAAGGCCAGGCTCCTCTACAGCTTCCAGGGGACGGGTTCTGTAGGGAAAAACCAAATCCTTAGTCATGGTGACTAATAGAGGTAGGGCCGTGGTCTCCCACTGGTTGGCTGGTGCCAGGGTAGGGGGTGACTGATCGCTGTGCCTGGTCCCGATGTCTGCCTGTCCGATTTCGCAGAGGTGTGTTCTGCGGGGTCGTTCTGCTCTCCTGGGTCCTCAGCTACAGCACGGCCAGGGCCAACCTGCCACCTTTCGTCTGACTGGGAGCTCCGTCTCAGCAGGCAGCTGACTGAGGGGTTGCTCCTTAGAGTGCTGGTTGCGGGCCAGAACCTCGTCGACCTGAGGGCCTGATGGTTAAGCAACACAGAGAGAGAGATGTGGTGGGCTGAGGGAGCTCAGTGAGGCCAGTTTGAATCAAAGGGGACATAAATAAACAGAAGCCAGAGTAAAGAAAAGAAGGTTTCTGCACAGTGCCACAATCTCCCGCTCCTGAACCCACGGAGCTGTGGCGTCGCTGCCCTGACAGCCCAGCGCCACCTGGGTTTCGTCCTCTGTCTGCTGGGGTGCGCTCTGGGCGGGGGGGAGCTGGAACTGAGTGTGAGCGCGGAGTCAGAAAGGAGCCAGATTAGGAGGGGAACAGCCCCTGGCTGCTGGGTACTCCCTGGCGAGGCCAGCCGTCGCCCTCTTTAGAAACTCCGTGCTGGCTGCCTCCATTCCCTCAGTGTCCTCCTCTGTAAAATGGGCGTATGAACGCCGCCCGAGCAGGCTCCTGGGAAGACCCAGTGGCCCGGAGGCACACCTGGCCCATAGGAAGTGCTCACCATACAGACGTCACCTGCGCCCTGAGCTATGACTGCCGGGGCCACCGTTGTGGCGTGGGTCTCCTAATCCAACCGCCCGCCTAGTCGCCCTTGCCAGCTGGGCTGCTGTGACTTCGTCTCTCTTGGAGGTTTTTACCGACGCCCTGAAGGCCAGGCTTTCATCAGGCCTGGTTCCTGCTCAGACTTCACCCTCCTTCCCCAATCCGAAGCCCTTGGTTCTCTTTCAGCCCCGCCCCTGACAAGGTGCTCTCCTCCCCCCTCTGCCCAGGAGGCCCGGAGTCTCCGCAGCCGCTCGCCCTGGGCTTGCTCTGCCACTCCCCCTCTCTCTCCACTTCAGTGGCTTTCTCTCTTCCCTCGTCTCCTATGACGCCACGTCTGTCCACGTGAGTGCCTTCACCTTCGGGTAGCTGACTCTGCTTCCTCCCCTGGCCTCCTCCAGTCGCAAAGGGCCCACTTCCTGGGGCCCCTTCTTACCCTAATAGTTCACTGACACCCACGCCGGCCAGGTCTGAGACGGAACCTGGCGTCACGGCTCAGCTGTTCGATCTTGTGCTTTGTCTTCTGAGTCTCCCACCTCGGATCGGGGACCAAGCCCTTCTTCAAAATTCCCGATCGACATCGCTGTATTGATTCATAAGAAAACCCTCCTAATTGTACAAAGGAATCTGTGTTCAATGCTGAAAACTGGGAAAGCTGCCACGACACCACCCTTTGATATCTTGGTGGACAGGCTTCCGAGGAAGCCCACCTCGCTGCTCCCAATAGTTAGCAGCCACAGCAAAGAACAACGGCGTGGCCACAGTGTGGGGTCGGCTACTGATAACGTGAGACTCGGACGCCGTTCTGTAACCTGCTTCTGCATGTAGTGTCTCTAGTGTCACGGGGTGGACTTCTGCCAGACCAACTCTGAATTGTTCTTTTTTGTCCTGGCCGCACACTTTGAGAGACACTGGCCTTCCGTCCGTGTCTGGAGGGGCGCACTTGGGAGGATGCGAGGCTGGAAGTCATTTCTGGAGGGGGGTGCGGAAGCAAACCCAGGCCACCGAGGGCGGGCCAGGGAGGTGTGAGGGTGGGCGCGGTCCAGTGTCTGAAAGTTCAGGAGGGTCCCTGGTGGGTACAGCCAGAGCCGACAGGGGAGCTGCGGGGAAGAGAATTTGGCTCGCTGAGAAAGAGCCGTCTGCTCCCGAGGGGCAGAGCAGCTGGAGGTCTGACCCCCGTCTCCTCTCTGGGGCCCCTGCTCAGAGCCACCAGAAGAATCTCGAACCCCTGGCCTGGTGCCCAGGCTCTCGCAGACACTCCACAGCTCCCTCCGGAGGGCCCGCGGGCTCATTCTCTCTTCTTCGGGCAGGTCCTGCCCGGTGGTGTCTCAGAGCCTGGCCTCGGCAGGGTCTCATCTCCGCCCTCCACCTCCGTACCCTGTTCTGTCGGCCCTGGTCCAGCGCTCCCCTCCTGCAAGTCCCAGTGCACAGTCCCCGCCCCCACAGTGCGCCCACTCCTGGAACTCCTCACTGACACCTCCCTCAGGACACTGGCCACTTTCTCCCTTCTTCCCAGCAGGAGGGTCAAGTGTGTTTGTGGCTCATTCTTTCTTCAAGGCCCGGACTTCTGAGAAGGGGGCTGCCTCTCGTCCACCGGTTCACCCAGCGTGCAGCTCGGCACCCGCTCCCTAGTGGATGCCTGTTTCCGCAGGCTCCTAACCGTGGAAACCGTGTGCCTTGCCCACGCGCAGCAGCTCTCCTTGCTTTTATGCTTTGCTTGGTGCTGGTACACCTCCGTTCCCAGGTGCTCCTTTGAAGGAGCCGGTGCGTGAAGAAGGGTGGCCACCTCACCTCCTTCTTACATAAGAAGAAACTGGGACCCAAGAGTCGAGGTGACTCATTCAGGGTCAGGTGTGTCCCGACCCACCTGGAATGCAGCTCAGGCCTCTCACCGCTGCTGCGTCCTCTTTTCTTCCCAATGTGCACAGGGCACCCGCCTTCGCCGCCCGTGGTGGACACCGTGCAGGGCAAAGTCCTGGGGACGTACGTCAGCTTAGAGGGGTCCACAGCGCCGGTGGCCGTTTTCCTGGGCGTCCCTTTCGCCAAGCCTCCTCTGGGACCCCTGAGGTTCGCCCCCCCGCAGCCTGCAGAGCCCTGGATCTTCGTGAAGAACGCCACCTCTTACCCTCCGATGTGAGTGTGGGCACCTTCTGGGGGGACGCTGGCCTCGGAGGGGCCTCGGGAGGGCACTGAGGCCAGCCTCTGAGTGGTTTCCCGTCCCTCTGGAGTCCTTGAGATACGGTCGGTCCTTGAACACATTCCAGAGCTGCCACGGCATTCTAGACCCTTTGGTCCACAAGTATTTATGGAACACCTACTGTGTGCCTGGGACGTTCTGGGTGGCTGATCCCCGTCAGTGAAGGAAACACACATGTTTCCTGGGGAGCCTTCCTGGGGCTTCCGTTCCAGCAGGGAGAGAGTTCAGAAACAACTCGCAAATGAATTATGTGATAGGTCAGAATATAAAAAGTGCTGTGGGGAAAACAATGACAGTTGAGTAGGTGATGGGGACGAGAAGCAGGCTTCTGTTTGTTCTCCTGTCTTGAAGGTTGCCGTGTTTGGGGAGCGGGGAGGGCCAGGCAGTGTCTGGGGGGAGTGCTTTGGGGTGTCCCCCGGCGGGTTCTCAGTTGCCAGGTGTGTCTAGCTACCTAGTCCCAAGGGCCACTCGGGCCTGGCCCACGCTGGGCCGGGGACTCAGTCAACGTCACCAATCCCAGTCTCTGCTGGCTCCTCCCAGGCTGTCACCAGGGCGAGTAGCAGTGCTCACCTGGGGTGGGTGGACGAGGGGATGCCAGAACCCCAGCATATACGGGTGGCAGACCCTTCGAGAAATCACAGCCCCTGCTTGGACGTGGCCGACTGGGGCCCAGAGCAGGGAGGAAGCTCACTCAAGGTCACCCTGCACCCCGGTGGCTGAGGCAGTTCTCCTGATGCCACCCTACCAGGTCCTCACCCCGATCTGTCACGGGCCCCATGCCTGCTGCCATTTGAGTGACTTCTGATGGTTCCCAGCAGTCTCCTGTGGCCTAGACCACCTGGGTTACCTGGTGGAGGAACATGGTCGCCCTGGACCTCCCGTGGGAGCCCAGTGGAGAGCCAGGCCACGTCCAGGGCGGCCGTGGCCTGGTGGCCTCCTGTTGTTGACACAGCGCACCAGGGGTCCTGAGGGCCAGGAGAGAAGCCAGGCCTCCTCAGTGTGCTTGGTCCTGGGAGGCTTTAGTGAGGCCCTGGCAGGGGTTGGGGGGGTTTGGGAGGGATTGTGGGGGGGACACCCAGCCCCGCCCACCCCAGTGCCTTTGCCCTGGTAAGCAGCACTCTGCACAGGCCTGGAGCTCCCAGTCCCAGTCCCAGGCCCGGCCTGAGTGCAGGGGACGGCTCCGTGCTCAGCTCCGGCTGGGCCTCAGGACGTCTCCTGCCTGTCCCCTGCCAGGTGCTCCCAAGACCCAGTGAAAGGCCAGGTGCTCTCAGAGCTCTTTACCAACCGCAAGGAGAGCATCCCTCTCAAGTTTTCTGAAGACTGCCTTTACCTGAACGTCTACACTCCCGCTGACCTGACGAAGAAAAGCAGGCTGCCGGTAAGTGGCCGGTTCCAGCGCTGGCGGCCCTTCTGGTGTTGGGGGAAAGGCGAGGCAGCTCTGTCAGGGCCCAGGGCTTCCCTTTCCCCCGCAGCCAGGCCGCGTGCCCCCGGGGGACGCACGTGTGCCATGCCTCAGTGTCCCCTGGGGATCGTCACGGTGCCTCTGGGGGAGTTTGCTGTGCATCTGTCCCTCGCAGTCAGTGCCCCCACGTCCTTCCCCGCAACAGAGGGACAAGAGTGATCCCAGTTGCCAGGTTCGGAATCTTGTTTTCAGAGAAGCTAAGATGCAATTTTCTTTCTCTTTTTTTAAAGCTATGAATTTTTTTAAAGATTTCATTTATTTGTTTTAGAGAAGTGGGAAGAGAGGGAGAAAGAGGGAGGGAAACATTGATGGATGAGAGATACATTCATTGATCAGTTGCCTCTGGTGCACCTCCAAATGGGGAACCGGGGACCTGGCCCTCAACCCAGGCACGTGCCCCAACTGGGAACTGAACCGGTGACCCTTTGATTAGCAAGCCAGCACTCAATTCACTGAGCCACCCCAGCCAGGGCTGACATAGTGTTCAATCAAGTTAGAGCCTGAAGGAGTCTTACAGAGAAGGCAGCAACCCAACCTTCTTACACAGGTAGAGAAACCGAGGCCCAGAGAGGGAGAGGCGGGGCCACCCATACAGCTGGCAGGACCCCAGCAAGAGCTTTCTGGCCTCCAAACCCGCTGTTCCGGGGTGGGGGGTGGGGGAACCGAGCCTGCGTGTGGTCTTTCTCGGCACTCTCGGACCCCTCTCTGACAGCGACCAGTGTCCCACAGTGACACTGAGGCCCCTGCAGGCACATCCTGGGGGCAATCCAGCAAGCACTCTCCTTTGTCTCCGCCCCAAATCTGGGATCTTCTTTTTGCTGGTGGCTGGGTGGATGACCCAGGGAGTCAGCATGTCAGTGCACAGGGTCTCAGAGGTGGAGCAGGCTTGCAGCTGGAAGGTGTGGGTGGGTCGCTGGTGGCAACCCCTGGGATGGACAGGGAGGGGTGTGAGTCCCCAATCATATCCCAGGAACAACCCTGGCCAGATGTGCCCAGGGATGGGGGGAGGGTGTCCGTGAACTTGGGACTGCACGTACTTGGCTCAGAGAGGTGGGGGACAAATGTTTACTCCCCACTCATTCACTTACCCACCCTTCTATTTTGTGCTGGGTGCCCCCATATGCATACGCACAGCTAGAAGTGGGTTTAGGAGAAAGGAGGAGCATTAAACCATTACCACGTAACCCCTGCCTTTGAGGGTCTCACCCCCCAGGCTACACAGACAGGCCAGCATCTTCAGCAGATCCCTGCTGACCATCCTTGGCTCAGCCGCCACTCAGGGGTGGAGGAACCCAGCCCCGCCGCCTGGAGGTGGGCAGGGATCGGAGATGCAGGAGGAGTGGGGGCTCAGGGAACCCAGCGGCAGCAGAGCCTTCACTTGCGGACACAGGCTCTGGCACTGCAGGGCCTGGGTTGAAGTCCTGGTTCTGCCTTTTACTAGCAGAGAGACCGTTACCGCCAAAGAGGACTTGTGTCGTACGAGGACTC